AAGGGAGCACTGTGTATTCGTAAGCTACGCCTTGAAACAGAAACCGTAGGTATTTCCTGTGAGGCGGATAAATTGGAATGTGAAAATATGCGTCTTTCAGATCTATTGATGTGAACCAATCGTCTGGGCGCACTAAACGGATCAAGGCCGAGTGTGTGAGCATTCGAAACTTGTATCTCCTTAGATACGAATTCAAAGCTCTTAGATCCAGAATGGGGCGAAGACCGCTTCCCCCCTTCTTTGGAACCAGAAAATACCTGGAATAGAAACCGCTCCGCTTCAGTTCCGGTGGTACAATCCGTATGGCCTTTTTCTGTAGCAAAGAGGATATTTCCTCTGCCAGAATGACGGCTGATTGTCCTTGTGCCTGACAAGACAACAGGCCGTTGAATTTGGGAGGCACGGCGGCAAACTGCAGTCTGTAGCCCCGTGTTATCGTTCCAAGCACCCACTTCGAGTCTGTGCATTTGCTCCACTGCTCCGCTCTTAGAGACAGGGAGGGCAACGTTGCACCTGCCACCAGACTGATGTGTGGAGCTTTGTCGCCCTCTACTGACAGAGGGCTGGTGGTGGAACCGGGTTGGACTGCGCATGCGCGGTCTGTAACCATGGGGACACGCTGACTGGGGACCAAGAGGGTGGTAGCGCCCTCTGTTGGCCCGAGACGAGCGCTCAATGTATTTTTCAACATTTTTTTCTTTTTTAATTCTTTTAAAGTACAATACTGCGCCCTCAGCGTTACGCCTGGATGCGTCAGTGAACTTTTTAATTGCATTTTTGAGTGTATGTGTGTGTGCTTGGGAGACTTGTGAGGCACGGGACACTCCAGCACATGAACCACGTCTCTCATCCTCTTGATCAGGACTCTCCGGGGACTCGCCGGGTCCGGACCAGACGGAGAGGGGCACACCACACCACCAGGGAGAACCACCTCCTGTGGCACACTCACAGGGTCGAACAGAACCGGAACCGGGTCGACCCTGTTGATTAGCAGCGGGGTGGACTGCTAAGACGCCTTCTTCCTCCTCCTCTGCTGCTGAGACGCACCCGTGGGCGGCGCAGCAGCCTGCGGGGTGGCAGAGCCCGTGGCCCTCTTGGGCCACACGGGTCTGCCCACCGGAGGGCCAGCTGATCCCGTGGCAGGGGGTTGAGGTTTTGGTCGTTGCGGGACGCGGAATGAGGGATTAAAGCCGGGTCTGGGGCTCACACGAGACATATTTGACCTCGGGAGCGCTTGAGTGGCAGCTGGCTGCTTACGCGGGAGACAGAGGTGAAGCGCCTCGTCATCCCGCTTCCTGGCTTCGCACCTCTGTTGCATGGAGGAAAGAGCTGAGCCAAACACACCCTCTGGGACCACCGGCATGTCCAATATGTCTTCCCTCTCCCTGTCAGACAAATTGGTCAGGTTTAACCATCGCGCCCTTTCCTGCAGCACCAACATGCCCATACATTTCCCCACAGCCTGAACTGCGCAGCGTTGAACACGTAAGCATAGGTCAGACACAGTGGTAATATCGTCCCATGCAGCACTGTCAGGGACGGTGGACATGTCCTCAAATAGCTCCGCTTGGTACGCAGTCAGCATAGACGTAACATTAAGAGCCCTGACCGATAGAGCGGCTGCTTTGTACGCTCGCTCAGTCATGGTGGACTGGAACCGGTCAGCTTTTGAGGGGTGGGCAGGTGGTCTGGTGGACGTGGCCGAGAGCTTCGGGTGAAGATGGGCCGCCACCATGGGCTCGGTCTGAGGCATACGAACCATACCGAGTTTGTCCATACCAACAAAGTCCAGAGAAGAAGCGCCCAAAATGGGGCTCTTATTGGAGTAGGGATGGTCTTTCCAAGAGGCTGACACTTCCTCGAGAAGCTCTGGAAACACCGGGAGAAGCTGTCGCGCTGCCCGTTTAGCCTGGGGTAATTTCTTCCCCTCGTAGCGGGAGCGGGGAGCCTCCGCAGCGACCGGGGGCCACGGGATGTCCAGCCTGTCTGCAGCGCGTTTGCACACGTCATGCAGATCAGCGCTGAGCGATGGCTGGGCAACTCCGCTATCATCCCTAGCCTGAGCCGTAAGCGGAGAGACTTGGCCTGAGGGGACGAAAAAGGAGGGGTCCTCTTCGTCGTCAGACACCAAAAACTCCTCACCAAAAGAACCATCGTCCTCATAATCCAAGAGGAGCGGTCCATCTTGGAGAGGGTTCTCAAGGTCCACTGTAGAGCTCCAGCTCAACTGGGCCGGGGCAGCCTGGGCAGCTGCTCCAGTCCCGGTGTCAGCTACAGCCTGGGCGCCTCCTCCGAGCTGGTGTGCTGCGGTAGTGGGCTCAGGCTCGGTCATAGCCGGGTCTCTGTCAGAGAGGCTAGCTTGGCGTGCTAGCCTGCGACGTAGACTCTTGGCCGTGAACCGGGAGCAGTGCATGCACGATCCGGGATTCTCAAGTGCGTCCCGGGCGTGTTCCAGCCCAAGGCACGCCGAGCAGACCTGGTGTGTGTCGTTGCTCGAAATCTTGTTCCCGCACGTGCAGTGCCGGGCACCTTCCAGCTCCGTGGAAGGAGAGAGCTTTGCAGCTGTAGCCATGGCTGATACCTGGTGTGGTAGCAGGCAAAGCAGAGAGTTAGCCTGGTGCAGCTAACAAAAACTCCGAAGCTAGTCACGCACTAACTGTCCGGTGTAGTGACAGCTAACGTTCGGCAGCAGAGGGATAAGCTCTACCTGTGAACAGTTAAATTAGCCGTCTGACACACTGGAGTTGCGGTAACTTTGCTCTGTGAAGCGAGAAGAGGTGATTGAATGGCGGGTGACGTCGTACGAGTGGCATTTATAGTGGGTGCCAACGTCGCGACGTCACCACTGCCAGCCACTCAGGGCTGGCGTAATGGTATAGGGCTTCTGTGAACACCCGAGGGGGGCGTTCCCATAGTGAGACATCGAAACGAATACTATGAAAGAGAACCATTTTATCTCTGAAAAGTACACCTCGCTCAAACATCAAACCAGCCGTGGCCGTTTCACTAATTTGGCTGAAATTCCCTCCATATTGTCTCAACACATGGGCCATCAATAGTTGAATATAGAATTTTAATTAGTCAAACGGTCTGAGCGTGACAGACTCCCAAAATGTGGTTATTTTCATAGAGAGGTGTGAAGTTCCCATGTTATCTAATGGAGACTCTATGGACACACTCACAGATTGTATGTTTAAACAGGAGCACATTTACAAACTCTGATTTGCACTAATCTTGACTCGGTTGTTCAACTCCTGGGCCTAGGTCACATGACAGTGTGAACAATGACATTGGCCCATTAGCGCCCCCTACAGGCTGAGTAAAGGTTTACATGGGGATACAGGTATTTAGGTTTTATGTTGTTTGATCTCATATTTGACCCACGTAGGAAAATGGCGCGTCAGCGCCACCTCGGTCGCGTTGTGCGACGAGGGCCGTTCGATGCCGCTTGCGGCTTTAATTTAGTTTAGTTTTTTCTACATCTGGGACATCTGTCCTAGAAGGGGGGTTACTGTCATGGTGTGGACTTCCTGTTAATGTGTCTGGTTTTATTTTGATATATTTTTGTTCCCTTGTCGTGAGTTTTACTTCCTGTCTGTGTTGATTGTTTGCCCCTCCCTGATGTGCTACACCTGTGTCTACCTGTGTGTATTTAGACCCTGTGCTCATGTCGTCTTGTCGTCGATCCATTGTTGTTTTCTCCCCATGTCTTGTTCCCGGTTTCAGTTTTTACTTTTTTTTTTGCGTCTATTAAATTATAATATTTTTGCAGTTGTGCTTTTGGGTCCTTCCTTGTTTATCCGTGACATTCATCGGTTGTGGATGCTGCACTTCTCCCAGTGCCAGCCGTGTCTGCACCATGGACCTCTGTGCAACTGATCCAAGGGTGGCCCTTGCATTTAAGGAAGATGTGATTTGAAAGTATTTATTTATGTTGAGAGTTTTATTGTGTCTGACCTGCAGCAATCTCATTCTGGCTTAACAGCCGTAACAGCCCGTACAAACCGCACAAAATGCGCGCCCGTTACATCAGTGAGGAGCGCACACAGAGCATCTATGGTCTCTGTGCTCTGTCGGTGTGAGGGCAGCCGCACTGTCAGTGTGAGGGCAGCCGCACTCCCGGTGTGTACGGGCCGTGAGTGTTTTTGTATTTTAACCAAGGATTTGAACTCCGTTGAGTTGTTTACAGCAGCCAAAGTGACATACGCTTTCCCCTATGCTGTATTCAAGTTTCATAAATGAGAAACTTGATGGGTAGCCGATTCCACAGCTCCTATACATATCATTGATCCAACTGTGGTAATGATTGATGACATAAATTCATTAATGAATTTCCATCATGCATAATGATTATCATGATTTAACAGTGAACATGTTCCTTCATATTTAAATACATCATCTCAGTGGCTCAGTTGGTAGAGCATCAGCCTTTGGGCCTGAAAGTTGTGGGTTCGAGCCTGAAGGTTGTGGGTTCGAGCCCACCACGAGACCTGCTTCATGACTCCCACTAATGTCTGCTGTTGTTGTATCCTTGGGCAAGACACTTAACCTCACTTTGCCTGAAGCCCCCACTGAAAAATCAAGTCAGGTCAGACTAGAGCAGCCATCCTCTTGTGGACTCACCATCCCCTGCTTAGTCCGTTTCTGGGTTAGGGGGGCGACAGTCAGAGCTGCCACTTACAGCAAGGAGCACCAGCCCCTCACTGATCCTCCTGCAGGTGGTGAGTCCACATACATTCCTTCATGTCTAATTAAACATTCAATTCCAATTATTTTGAAATAGCCCAAAATCACAACAGCAGTTATCTCGGAGGACTTTACAAAGTTGTCAATTTGCCAACACAGTTCAGAGAATCAAACTGTTCAAATACAGGAAATGCAACAATAACAAACACACAGGAGTCATGCGGGAAGCGAAATGACCAATGTCCATAAATGTTAATAAAGCAGAAGTCATTGAGTAGCACTACCTGTGTGTGCAGGTGAGCCACCCCAGAAAAATGTGTCCTGAGTCGAGACTGCGGCCTGAGGGAGCCCCGGCTGGCTTCTATCTACACGTTCCAGAGAAGGAGGAGCCCACACTCAGCAGCTCTGTACCATCTGGGGGGGACAGGTATGAAGTGTAACAATTTGATAAATACAATTCACATATGCTTCCTCTAAGGTAGCATATACGTGGATCAAATCCTAATGTACAATCAACCATAGCCACTAGCATTGAGACAAAACAAAACTTATAGGAAAGTATTCATATCATTTGAAACAATGTTCTGATCCACATCAAAAATCTCAAGATTGCAGAGCAGACATCAAATCTGTCCTGCAACATTATCAGTTTGTCAAAAAGTCTGCAAACCGGAAGTGGCACACAACAGGAGGATGACAACATGAAGATGGTCAGTGCTTCTATTTTCTGCCAGGCCCCCATTTGGAAGAAAAAAATCCAGTCCCTTGCGAAAGTATTCGGCCCCTTGAACCTTTCAACATTTCGCCACATTTCAGGCTTCAAACATAAAGATATAAAAAATTATTTTTTGTCAAGAATCAACAACAAGTGGAACACAATCGTGAAGTGGAACAAAATTTATTGGATAATTTAAACTTTTTTAACAAAAAAGCAATATTATTCGGCCCCTTGCGCTAATACTTTGTAGCGCCACCTTTTGCTGCAATTACAGCTGCAAGTCGCTTGGGGTATGTCTCTATCAGTTTTGCACATCGAGAGACTGGAATTCTTGCACATTCTTCCTTGCAAAACAGCTCGAGCTCAGTGAGGTTGGATGGAGAGCGTTTGTGAACAGCAGTCTTCAGCTCTTTCCACAGATTCTCGATTGGATTCAGGTCTGGACTTTGACTTGGCCATTCTAACACCTGGATACGTCTATTTGTGAACCATTCCATTGTAGATTTGGCTTTATGTTTTGGATCATTGTCCTGTTGGAAGATAAATCTCTGTCCCAGTCTCAGGTCTTTTGCAGACTCCAACAGGTTTTCTTTCAGAATGGTCCTGTATTTTGCTCCATCCATCTTCCCATCAATTTTAGCCATCTTCCCTGTCCCTGCTGAAGAAAAGCAGGCCCAAACCATGATGCTGCCACCACCATGTTTGACAGTGGGGATGGTGTGTTCAGGGTGATGAGCTGTGTTGCTTTTACACCAAACATATCGTTTTGCATTGTGGCCAAAAAGTTCAATTTTGGTTTCATCTGACCAGAGCACCTTCTTCCACATGTTTGGTGTGTCTCCCAGGTGGCTTGTGGCAAACTGTAAACAAGACTTTTTATGGATATCTTTGAGAAATGGCTTTCTTCTTGCCATAAAGGCCAGATTTGTGCAGTGCACGGCTGATTGTTGTCCTATGGACAGACTCTCCCACCTCAGCTGTAGTCATCTGCAGTTCATCCAGAGTAATCATGGGCCTCTTGGCTGCATCTCTGATCAGTCTTCTCCTTGTTTGAGATGAAAGTTTGGAGGGACGGCCGGGTCTTGGTAGATTTGCAGTGGTCTGATACTCCTTCCATTTCAATATAATTGCTTGCATAGTGCTCCTTGAGATGTTTAAAGCTTAGGAAATCTTTTTGTGTCCAAATCCGGCTTTAAACTTCTCCACAACAGTATCTCGGACCTTCCTGTTGTGTTCCTTTGTCTTCATGGTTCTCTCTGCGCTTTAAACAGAACCCTGAGACTATCAAAGAGCAGGTGCATTTATACGGAGACTTGATTACACACAGGTGCATTCTATTTATCATCATCAGTCATTTAGGACAACATTGGATCATTCAAAGATCCTCACTGAACTTCTGGAGTGAGTTTGCTGCACTGAAAGTAAAGGGGCCGAATAATATTGCACGCCCCACTTTTCAGTTTTTTATTTGTTAAAAAAGTTTAAATTATCCAATAAATTTAGTTCCACTTCACGATTGTGTCCCACTTGTTGTTGATTCATGACAAAAAATTAAAATTGAATAACTTTATGTTTGAAGCCTGAAATGTGGCGAAATGTTGAAAAGTTCATACTTTCGCAAGGCACTGTATATCATGCCCTCTTTTACATCTTTAGATCGGTTCAGAAAAGTAAATTAATAACTCCCAGGGATCTATCAATTGGTTAAACCAAATGATAAAGGTTTAAAATAAGATGCATGTAATGCAATTCAGATGGTCTGTTGTGCTCTGATTTCTCACAACATTTTAATGCAAACAACATGCATTAAGGATACAATGGAAAAAGTAGGTACCCCAGCTTTAATTTTGAGATTTTAGATGAGCTTTAGGACACTACACATGGAAACTTCCAGAGGCTCCTATAATCCTGGTCTTGTTCTTGCCGTGGTGTCTTTGATGCATATCAAAGAATGGTCCTGTCGCGCCTGGTCACATCATGACCACGCTACAGCTACGTGCTCCCCATTGGTCGAGTTAATCTCAATGATTCTTTCCTGGTTCAAAATTTTTTTTTAAGATAAAAAAATTGTCCTGTAATTCTTTGGCGTACCCCTAGAGGGAGCCCTGCATACACCCACTTTAAAAACCACTTTGTTAGCATATTTGAAACTCCAAGAACAGTGTCTATAATAATTAGCAAGCTACAATATTTAGATTTTCAGAGAACTTAAATGAAAAAGCGTTTTGAACCTTGAATATCCTGGTTAGTCTAGACCAGTGGTTCTCAAAGTGTGGTACCACTAGTGGTATGTGGGACTCCCTCTAGTGGTACGCCAAACCAGCCATAAACCAGGAAAAGTCCCATTGAGATTAAAAACCTCTTTTTCAAGGGAGTCCTGGACAAAAATTACATACAATTACAGATTATAAAACAGTCAAATACAATTTCATAAAATTTAAGATTATAAAATAGTCAATAATATACTAAAAAATGGTCATTTGTAGTGGTACTTGGAGAGGCAAGTATTTTCTGAGGTGGTAGTCGGTGTAAAAAGGTTGAGAACCACTTGTCTAGACCATGGGTTCTCTTGTAATAGTAAATTATGTTGCTGATAAAATCTCTTGTCACGACTAAAAATGCTGATGATAAAAACCAGTAGGATGTTGAATTGTTAAAATTGACTACTGAAAGAGTGGATATATTAATTGCACTCAGGGTTGTTTTATCTGGTACAAGAAGGTTTTTTTGTAATTTTTATTTAATTTAATTTCTTGAGATCTCAGAAGTAACATTGTGGCCAATCTGTACATTATTTGCTTCAAATTAACTGGTATAAAATCGCAAATACTAAACCTATTGTTATGTGCTTCATTGGGGTAAAATCTACCAGTTACTTAACTGTTCATCTATTTATAACCAGCCTCCTTTTCGAATCTAGATTTAGATAACCTTACCATTGAACCTGTCAACTAGCAGAACAATCATCGTAGGGTTACACTAGAATTAGAGATTTAGTTTTATTTTAATTACTATAGCTATTGACCACTTACCTTGTGCTGTGGGATCCTCATTCATACTGTTCTGTAACTTGTGATGCAACACTGAAATTTCCCTGGTCTGAGACGAATAAAGGATTTATTAATCTTAATCCTCCCCAAAATAATGGTCGGAATACGCATGAGTTTTCTTACCTGGTGATGCAGACGCTACGCCATAGTGAAAGATATTTTTTGGCCTCTGTTCTGCTGCGGCTGTGTGTGTATGTCCATGTCCAACGCAATGTCCTGGCTTATCTGATCCTTTGGAGTGCAGGTACAGCTTCAGAATGCGGACTTTGTTTACATTTCAGCCTCAGCACACTCATTTATCAAACTAAATGATAATTTCCTTGGCTCTGGTTCAAATGACTGGGAGTCGGAGTTGGGGACCACTGTCACTTTGTACCAAGGGACTGCAATATATGGGACTGCAATATATGATCTCAATGCTAGATGGGAGTAAAAACTACACAGTGTACTTTTAAAATAAAACTATTGTAACAGCTCAAACACAGGAACATAACATTTCAGTAACATTTCACACTGAAATATGAGACACTCTTTCAAATCACAACTACATTCCATGCATTATAATATTTGTTAGAAAAAAATCTAAGATCTTCATGAATCATGAAAGATGAATCCTGCGGCCTTTTCTTACACTGATATTCACTACTTTGTCGTTTTTTGTGGTGCCAGGCCTCGGGACAGGAGCCGCTCCTCAGACATGTCCCGGGATGACGACTCTGTGCTGCGAGATGGGAGCGTGGATTCTTCAGAGGCCTCAGATGACATGCCCAGGAATGCTCCGGGGAACATGCGCCCAAACTGGGGTGGTCCTAACAACAGCAACAGCCCCAATGGAAGCCCACGCATGACCAGCTTCGCAGCACGTCGAGACAGCAGCCGGAAGAGACAGCCTGCGGCACCGGGGGAGGAGGCCAGCTCATCCCCCAGCACGGCCACTGCACAGGGGCCTGATGCGCAGGCTCTGGGTGCGCGGCTCGAGGAGAAGCGCAGGAGCATTGACGCCCAGAAGAGGCGGATAGAAGCCATTTTCGCCAAACACCGGCAAAGGCTGGGCAAGAGCGCCTTCCTCCAGCTCCAGAGGGAGCAGGGGGAGGGGGGGGACACTGCAGCAGGGGATGCAAAAGAGCAACTCAGCCTAGATGAGCGCCTCACACAGGTAAGAATGGTTTACATTTGAACGTTAGAGTTGAGTAGAACGTGATTTCCTCTGGTTCTGGGTGCATTCCTCAGTTTCAACACGCATCAAAAAGCAGGGTTTTGCAGTGTATAAAGGCCTTTTGTTGGAAAGGGACAATAGAGTCTGACCAAAGACGAGCTAGGAAGAAACTCAACACAAAATACAACCCGAACACTCTCAAACACTTGTAAATTTGATGAAAGCATTGAAATGAGAACAGAGGTGCTCTTTCTATGAGTTTTTCTGTTTTCCCTTGTGGTGTAAGCCAGAATACACAAGGTTGATGCGTAAAAAATAAAACCTCAGCCTATTTTTAGCAGTGAATAACATTAATTAAAATAGGAAGTAATGGAAGAGAGGGGCGGAGCTGTCAACCGATCACCACCTGGTCGTGAGTTGGATCCGCTGGCAGGGGAGGAAGCCGGTCAGACCTGGCAGACCCAAGCGTGTAGTGAGGGTCTGCTGGGAACGTCTCGCTGAGCCCCCTGTCAGACGGACTTTCAACTCACACCTCCGGGAGAGCTTCTCCCAGGTCCCAGCGGAGGAGGGGGATATCGAGTCTGAGTGGACCATGTTCTCTTCCTCTATTGCCAATGCGGCGGCTCGTAGCTGTGGTCGTAAGGTGTCTGGTGCTGGTCCCGGTGGTAACCCCCGAACCCGGTGGTGGACACCGGCAGTAAGGGATGCCGTCTGGCTGAAGAAGGAGTCCTATCGAGCCATGATTGTTCGGGAGACTCCTGAGGCAGCTGTCCAGTATCGGCTGGCCAAGCGTGCCGCGGCCCGGGCTGTTGCAGAGGCAAAAACCCGGGACTGGGAGGAGTTCGGAGAGTCCTTGGAGCATAACTATCGGTCGGCCTCGAAGAGATTCTGGCAAACCGTCCGGCGCCTCAGGAGGGGGAAGCAGTTCTTTGCCAACAGCGTGTATGGTGCGGGTGGAGAGCTGCTGACCTCGACTGGGGATATTGTCGGACGGTGGAAGGAATACTTTGAGGTTCTCCTCAATCCCCCAGTCACGTCCTTCGCCCCAGGGGCAGAGGCTGAGGATGTTGGGGCGGATACTTCCATCTCCCTGGCAGAGGTCACCAAGGTGGTTGGCAGCCTCCATGGTGGCAAGGCGCCAGGAGTGGATGAGATTTGTCCTGACTATTTAAAGTCTCTGGATGTTGTGGGACTGTCTTGGCTGACACGTCTCTGCAACATCGCGTGGCGATCGGGGGCGGTGCCAATGGAGTGGCAGACCGGGGTGGTGGTCCCTTTCTACAACAAGGGGGACCGGAGGGTGTGTTCCAATTATCGTGGGATCACACTCACTCAGCCTCCCCGGTAAGGTCTATTCCAAGGTACTGGAGAGGAGGCTACGGCCGTTGGTCGAATCTCGGATTCAGGAAGAGCAGTGTGGTTTTCGTCCCGGCCGTGGAACACTGGACCAGCTCTATACTCTCCATCGGATACTCGAGTGTTCATGGGAGTTCGCCCAACCTGTCCACATGTTCTTTGTGGATTTGGAGAAGGCGTTCGACCGTGTTCCCCGGGGTGTCCTTTGGGGGGTCCTCCGGGAGTATGGGGTCCGGGGTCCTCTATTGAGGGCCGTTCGATCCCTGTATGACCAGAGTCAGAGCTGTGTTTGCATTGCCGGCAGTAAGTCGGAACTGTTCCCGGTGCATGTTGGCCTCCGCCAGGGCTGCCCTTTGTCACTGGTTCTGTTCGCTGTTCATGGAGAGAATTTCTAGGCGCAGCCAGGGGCCGGAGGGGGTCCGGTTTGGCGACCACAGGATTTCATCTCTGCTGTTTGCGGACGATGTTGTCCTGTTGGCTCCAACGAACCAGGACCTGCAACATGCACTGGGACGGTTTGCAGCCGAGTGTGAAGCCGCTGGGATGAGAATCAGCACCTCCAAATCTGAGGCCATGGTGCTCGACCGGAAAAGGGTGCCTTGCCCTCTGCGGGTGGGTGGAGAGGTCCTTCCTCAAGTGTAGGAGTTCAAGTATCTCGGGGTCTTGTTCACGAGTGAGGGAAGGATAGAGCGCGAGATTGACAGGCGGATCGGTGCAGCGTGCGCAGTGATGCGGTCGCTGTATCGGACCGTCGTGGTAAAGAGGGAGTTGAGCCGAAAGGCAAAGCTCTCAATTTACCTGTCAATCTTCGTTCCTCCCCTCACCTATGGTCATGAGCTTTGGGTAATGACCGAAAGAACGAGATCGCGGATACAAGCGGTAAAAATGAGCTTCCTCCGCAGAGTGGCTGGGCGCTCCTTTAGAGATAGGATGAGGAGCTCAGTCACACGGGAAGAGCTCGGAGTAGAGCTGTTGCTACTCCACGTCGAGAGGAACCAGTTGAGGTGGCTCGGGCATCTGTTCCGGATGCCTCCTGGACGCCTCCCTGGGGAGGTGTTCCGGGCACGTCCCACCGGGAGGAGGCCCCGGGGAAGAGCCAGGACACGCTGGAGGGACTATGTCTCTCAGCTGGCCTGGGAACGCCTTGGGGTCCCCCCGGACGAGCTGGAGGAAGTGTGTGTGGATAGGGAAGTCTGGGCGTCTCTGCTTAGACTGCTGCCCCCGCGACCCGGCAACGGATGAAGCGGAAGAAAATGGATGGATGGATGGATGGAAGTAATGGTCACACTTACCCTAAAATCTTTTGTTTGGATGTAGCCCCCAAAGACGTGCTGAAAACGTTTTCCGATGGTCTCAACTAGAACGGCTCAGCTCAGTTTGCGCGTTTTCACTTTCTCTCAAAGTGCTTGGTTTTAGGATTAACAGGGCGTAATTATTAGTTACCTAATGTAACTGTAGTTACATTAGGGGCTACGCACCATTCGTGAATATGACTCCTAGAGGCCCGAGCCTCCCGCCAGAGAGAAATCAATGCTCCAATCACGGACGAGTCCCTCCTATAAATAGCCCTCTGCAGCCCGCACCTGCCACTTTGAACTCTGCCAAAGCCAGGCTGGACTGAGGGGCTACGCACCATTCGTAGAACTACAGTTACATTCGGTAACTAATAATTCTACATCATGGTGCTAACGGTCCTGAGGGCTATGATAGTGAATAACAATGCGTAGGCCGTAGGAAAAACATGTACTCCCATCAGGCCAGCGTACAGTGATTGGAGCCCTGCCTGAGCCAACCCCAACACCACCAAGGTGAGCGTGCTCAGCACAGGAAAAAGGAAGTATACTCAATGTTAAGAGGCCGCTCCTAACAAGGACGCCCGAAAAACACTGACAAGCCCCTTCCAAGGCAAGAATCACAGAGTCAAGGCCGCTCCTATCAAGGACGCCCGATGACTCTGTAAACAAATAGACACCCCTGTGAGAAGCGTAAGCCGCATTCCCCAGGACGCCTCTATCGAGAGCTCCTGCAGGAAAGCCAAGGTCGCCCAAGGGGGACACGGGAAGACCGCAGACCCAGGACGCCTCTAACAAGAGCTCCTGAAGGACAGCACGCTGCCCACGAGGAAAACCAGGGCAGGCCGCAACCCCAGGACGCCTCTGTCAAGAGCTCCTGCAAGGGCGGCCCATACAACACACACCTGACCGTAGGCTGCCACTATCCAGAGCACCTCACGGTCCTTAATCAAATCCCAGTGTTCAGAACAGAGTGGGAAACCGACCGTTCCGACACGTCAACCAGATACGACTGAGCAAAAGTAGAGGACGATGCCCAGGACGCCGCCTGGCAGACGTCCTCCACCGAGGCCCCCCGGAGCAGACCCGTGGAGGCCGCAACTCCCCGCGTGGAGTGCGCCCTGAACCCCGACGGGGAACCAATCCCTGAGCCTTGGGAAACCCAGTGCGCCAGCCGTTGGGAGGTCAACGGGGCGCCCCTGTTCATAGGACCCAAACACACAAACAGCTGTTCAGAACGCCTGAACGCAGCTGTAACGTCCAGGTAGCATCTCAACATCCTGATTGGACACAGCAAGTGCCACCGCTCATCCTCCTCCGAGGCATGAGGGGGCGGATAAAAAAGTCTGATCGTGATGACTCTAGACCTAAAGGTCGAGGAAACGACCTTGGAGAAATGCTGGATTGGGCCAAAGCTCCACCAGACCCTCCTCAGCCCCAAATGACAGACAAGCCGGGCTAATGGAGAGCGCATAAATCACCCGCCCTCTTGGTTGATGCCAGAGCCAACAAGAGGGCAGTCTTGAAAGCCACGCATTCTGGGCTGGCCCGGGCCACCGGCTCAAAAGGGCGCCCCGATAAGCCCCTCAGTACCACCTTCAGGTCCCAGACCGGAGGTGTCCTCCTGAGGACGGGCCTCTTCCTGTGGCCCCCCCGAAGCAAGCGTTTGACCAACGGGTGGGACCGGGCCGACAAGCTCCCGAACCCCCCGTGACCAGAGGCAATGGCTGACACGAACACCGCCAAGGTGCCGGCAGCCCTCTCTTTCTCCAAAAGTTCCTGAAGAAACCCCAGAACTCCCACCAGATGGCAGGACATGGGGTCCCAAGAGCGTACCGCGCACCAGGCACTGAAAACCTTCCACCTACAGCCATAAGCCCTGATATTGGAAGGGGCCCTCGCTCCTTGAATGGTCTCCACCACCGACGGGGGGGAGGCCCAGGTCTACGCATGGGCCGCCGCCATCATCTGCTGCCATCATCTGCTGCCATCATCTGCTGCCATCATCCCCAGGAGCGATCTGAGGCTCCGAACTGGCACTCCGGAAGCGGTCAACGCCTCCTTGGCCAAGCGGGTGTTTCCTCGCCTGTCCTCGGATAACGCAGCCCGGGACCCCACCGAGTCCAGCTGCAGACCGAGTTAGACCATTCGCTGGGCATGCTGCTGCCTGCTCTTTCCCTGTTCACTACAAAGCCCAGGCATTGTATGTGTGACAGAACCCAGCGTGTGTGATCCGTAGCCATCTCCCTGGACAGGGCCAGAATTAACCAATTGTCTATATAGGTTAATATCCTGACCCCCGCGTGTCTGAGCGGTTCCAGAGCCGCCTCCACGCACTTGGAGAATGTGCGT